TGTGTGTGTATGTAAGTAAGTAAGTAAGTAAGTAAGTAAGTAAATAAGTAAATAAGTAAGCAAGCAAGTATGTATGTATGTATGTATGTATGTATGTATGTATGTACGTAATGTATGCCTGCATGCATGCACTTGTATACATACACAGATATCTATGTGTATGTATGTATGTATTTATGTATGTATGTATGTATGTATGTATGTATGTATATATATATATATGCCTAGATAGAGATAAAGGCAGATATAGATATCGATAAAGAGGGATAGTTCGATTTAATGGATACGTCAGCTGGCAGATGAACACAAAACTGAGCATGTAAGGAATGAGGAATGCATACCTAGTTGAGTCAGCAACTAGGTAGTCTACGCGTCATAGGCCACTTCAGAAGCGGAAAACATGGCTATTTGGGGCCGTAAGACTGTACCGGGTTTAAGCTGCAAAAGCTTCCAGGATCGGCGCCTGGATTTGACGTTTAGAATTTAGAGAGCAGCTTGCAAAAGATTTCGAAGTCACCGAGGATGGCAGCTCGATGTTGGTTGCTGCTCGTTTTTCTTTGCATCGCTGTCGAACATCCTGCTGCTGCTACTGCTACTGCTGCTACCGCTACTCCTCCTCCTCCTGCCTGTTTTCTTCTACCACCAGTATGACTACTACTACTACTACTACTACTACTACTATTATTACTACTATTACTGCTACTACTACTACTACTACTACTACTACTACTACTCCTACTGCTAGTGCTACTTCTACTGCTACTACAGCTACAGTACTACTTCTGCTGCTTCTGACGATAACAGTAAACAAGAGCATTCAAGACAATAACAATCATGAGGATATCGATAGAGGCCATGCCACTGCAGTGACAGTCGTGTGTGTGTGTGCGCGTGTGTGTATGTGTGTATGTCTGTATGTCTGTCAGCATGCATGCATGCACGCATGTTTGCTTTTTTGTTTGTATACAGCTGTGCACACACATATACATGCATATGCACATCACATGTGGGTATGTATGCATTGACATATATATATATATACACAGGTATGAATGTAAGTATAGACAGATAGATAGTTCGATAGATAGATGGACAGATAGATGGATGACAGATAGATGGATAGACAGACAGATAGATAGGTAGATAGGTTGATAGGTAGATAGGCGGATAGATAGATAGATAGATAGATAGATAGATAGATAGAGAGAGAGAGAGAGAGATATATATATATATATAGACAGTTGGATATACAGATAGATCCATCGATAGACAGATAGATAGACAGATAGATAGATAGATCGATAGGTAGATCGATAGATAGACAGGATATGTAGATGGATAGGTAGATAAATCGGTAGGTAGATCGATAGATAGATAGATAGATAGATAGGTAGATAGATAGACAACTAGAAAGATAGACACCTGGCGTGAGAGCTCGACACAACTGCAATATGGATCAACTAGTTTTGCGAGTTTGCAGACTCCAGTAGGGACTTCAATGGACGGATTGTGTTTGCGGTGTCTTGTGCTTTGGGTTTCTCAGTAAAGTGTGCCGAGGCAGCGTGTCCCGACCTGTCATTTGTCAAGCTTGTTTTGTATAGCACGCTCTGCACGGTAAAGCATCATGTATCTAAATAGCAAAGCCTAAAACCCCGCAACCCTAGACCCTTAAGGTCCAAAATGAATCCAAGAACATGAGAAGCCCGATGCCGGAGAGAAAGCCGAGCCTTGAATCCCGGAGCCCTGAGTTGAGGTGGGGCCTCACCGATCAGGAGTCTAAGAGCGGAGCGGAGGCTTCCCTCCAGAAGGCCAGAACCCTAAGGGTCCATGTACCCAAATAGTAGAACATTGGCCCTAAAGTACCCATATAGGGACTACATTAAGGCCAATGTTCTACTATTTGGGCACATGGACCCTTAGGGGAAATGCACCAGGAACCCTCCCCCGAGTCCTGAAAGCCCTTGGTACGTTGTTGCGGGGTTTAGGGTTTGTAGGGCTTCCGAAGGGCGCTTAGGGACAGAGTCGATGCATGGGTTTCGCTTTGAGCGATCTCAGTGTCTAGCTTTTGTCGCACTTCCTTTGGTTGGATTTGCTGCTGCTTCTACGAGCTTGACCCAGGGTTATGTTTCAGAGATGAGGGCTCTGGGCTTGGGATGCCACGCGCCAGCCCGAGCCTGATGCTAGGGTTTCAAGAATGTGCTTGTATTTTTTTGTAGGCCTCACATATACGTTGAGCAATTGGCATTTGACTATGTTGGAGTCCCATCTTCATTACGCGGCCCTGTCTTCTTGCCAGAAGCCTCGCATCCTGGACCTCCACCTTTAAAGGGGACCCTATGATAGAACGCTCTGGTACCCTTAAAGGGGACCCCCCCCCCCCCCCCATTTTGGTACCCTACTTCCCTTAAAGGCTGCGCTGAAGTTCCTGGCCTTGCCCCGGTCCTCCCTTGGTGGGCTGACCGCGCGGAAGGTCAAGGAGGTTCGATTTGGGAGGAAGGGCTATGAACTTTAGGGTTTTAGGGTTTAGGGCTGTAGGGTTTTAGGGTTTAGGGTTTTAGGGTTTAGGGTTTAGGGTTTAGGGTTTTAGGGTTTTTAGGGTTTAGGGTTTTTGGAAGGGCTATGAAGGGCTACTATCAGGGAACCAGGGCTCTACACCACATAAAAAGGGCTGCGAAAAGGGGGACCTATAAGGTCCCTTCACTAAACCCTAAAACTAAGCCCTAAACCTATAAGGGAGTTTCCAAAATTAAGGGGTACCTCATCTTGGGCTCCTTTTAGTAAGGATCCTACTATTTAGGGTACTAATAGGGTCCCCTATTTTCGGAAACTCCCATAAGGGTTATGTACGACAGGAGGATTAATGATTAAACCGTAAACCTAAACCATTACTGCAAGGGTTGCTATCAGGAGCGTCCTGGTTCGCTCGGGCTTCTGTGCGAAGTGTTCGGGTTTTAGTGTTTCAGGTTTTAGTGTTTTTGGTTTTAGGGTTTCGGTTTTCAGGGTTTTGGGGTTTTGGGTTTTCGGGTTTAGGGTTTCGGG